GGGGGGGGGACTCCCTATTTGTAGTTTTACCGGCCAAACGGCGCAACCGACACAGCCTGGCGGGGCCACAGCTCGCCCCCCGCTTGCCCCCCCCCTCCGTCCGCCGCAGCCGCACGATGCCCCCCAACCTGGGCAACGCCGGGCTCCTGGGGCGTCTTCTGGAGGAGAGGACCTTCTCCACCACCAGTAAGACCAGTTTCTAACTGGGAATTGGGTTTTTTTTGGGTTTTTTGGAGGGGGGGGGGTGTTTTCTATCTCCTCGCACCTCTTTTTTTGGCCCCCCCCCTCCCAAATTTCGTTAGATAACGAGCCGGGAGCGGTGAAGATCGTCTGTGGCCACCACGACTGGATCGCGGTGGCTTACGCCCAGTTCCTGGTGTGCTACAGGTAAACTGGGAGGGACTGGGAGGGACTGGGGTGGCCCCACCCCACCACCAACACCACCCCCAACTCCCCTCCTGAGTGTCTTCTTTGCTTCTTCACATCCCCCCCCCCCAGGGTGAAGGAGACCTCCGGGTGGCAGCAGGTCTTCTCCAGCCCCCGCCTGGATTGGGTGATCGAACGGGTGGCCCTCAACGCCAAGGTGCTGGGGGGGGCCTTGGGGGACCACGACAAGATGGTGGCCGTGGCCTCCTGCACCGAGATCATCCTCTGGGCCCTCCAGGCCGACGGCAACGGCAACGAGATCGGTGAGAACCCCCCTCCCCAATCCACTCCGTCCTCAAAGATCTCAGAGGTTCCTCAAGGATCTTGGAGGTTCCTTGAGGTTCTTCAAGGTTCCTCAAGGATCTTGGAGGATCTTTGAAGATCTTCAAGGTTCCTGAAGGATCTCAGAGGGTCCTGAAGGATCTCAGAGGGTCCTGAAGGATCTCAGAGGTTCCTTGAGGATCTTGGAGGTTCCTCAAGGATCTCGGAGGTTCCTCAAGGATCTTGGAGGATCCTTGAAGATCTTCAAGGTATCTGAAGGATCTCGGAGGATCCTGAAGGATCTCAGAGGCTCAAGGATCTTGGAGGATCCTTGAAGATCTTCAAGGTTCCTCAAGGATCTTGGAGGATCCTGAAGGATCTCAGAGGTTCCTTGAGGATCTTCAAGGTTCCTCAAGGATCTCAGAGAATCCTCAAGGATCTTGGAGGATCCTTGAAGATCTTCAAGGTTCCTGAAGGATCTCGGAGGATCCTGAAGGATCTCAGAGGTTCAAGGATCTCAGAGGTTCCTTGAGGATCTTCAAGGTTCCTCAAGGATCTTGGAGATTCCTCAAGGATCTTGGAGGATCCTTGAAGATTTTCAAGGTTCCCGAAGGATCTCAGAGGATCCTGAAGGATCTCAGAGGTTCAAGGATTTCAGAAGTTCCTTGAGGATCTTCAAGATTCCTCAAGGATCTCAGAGAATCCTCAAGGATCTTGGAGGATCCTTGAAGGTCTTCAAGGTTCCTGAAGCATCTCGGAGGATCCTGAAGGATCTCAGAGTTTCAAGGATCTCAGAGGTTCCTTGAAGATCTTCAAGGTTCCTCAAGGGTCTCAGAGAATCCTCAAGGATCTTGGAGGATCCTTGAGGATCTTCAAGGTTCCTGAAGGATCTCGGAGGATCCTGAAGGATCTCAGAGGTTCAAGGATCTCAGAGGTTCCTTGAGGATCTTCAGGGTTCCTCGAGGATCTTCAAGGTTCCTGAAGGATCTCGGAGGATCCTGAAGGATCTCAGAGTTTCAAGGATCTCAGAGGTTCCTTGAAGATCTTCAAGGTTCCTCAAGGGTCTCAGAGAATCCTCAAGGATCTCAGGGGATCCTTGAGGATCTTCAAGGTTCCTGAAGGATCTCGGAGGATCCTGAAGGATCTCAGAGGTTCAAGGATCTCAGAGGTTCCTTGAGGATCTTCAAGGTTCCTCGAGGATCTCAGAGAATCCTCAAGGATCTTGGAGGATCCTTGAAGGTCTTCAAGGTTCCTGAAGCATCTTGGAGGATCCTGAAGGATCTCAGAGGTTCAAGGATCTCAGAGGTTCCTTGAGGATCTTCAAGGTTCCTCAAGGATCTCAGAGGTTCCTTGAGGATCTTCAGGGTTCCTCGAGGATCTTCAAGGTTCCTGAAGGATCTCGGAGGATCCTGAAGGATCTCAGAGGTTCAAGGATCTCAGAGGTTCCTTGAGGATCTCAGAGGTTCCTCAAGGATCTTGGAGGGTCCTGAAGGATCTCGGAGGTCCCTCGAGGATGTCAGGGGATCCTTAAAGATCTTGGAGGATCCTGAAGGATCTTGGATGTTCAAGGATCTTGGAGGGTCTTGAAGGATCTCGGAGGTTCCTCGAGGATCTCAGGGGATCCTCAAGGATCTTGGAGTTTCAAGGGTCTTGGAAGTTCCTCAAGGGTCTTGGAAGTTCCTTGAGGATCTCAGGGGATCCTCAAGGATCTTGGAGGTTCAAGGATATCGGAGGTTCCTCAAAGGTCTTGGAGGTTCCTCAAAAGTCTCAGAGAATCCTGAAAGGTCTCGGAGGTTCCTCAAGGATCCTGGAGGTTCCTCAAGGATCTCAGGGGATCCTCAAGGATCTTGGAGGTTCAAGGATCTCGGGGGATCCTCAAGGATCTTGGAGGTTCAAGGATCTTGGAGGTTCCTCAAGGATCTCAGGGGATCCTCAAGGATCCTGGAGGTTCAAGGATCTCAGAGGTTCCTCAAAGGTCTTGGAGGTTCCTCAAAGGTCTCAGAGGATCCTGAAAGATCTCGGAGGTTCCTCAAGGATCCTGGAGGTTCCTGAAGGATCTGGCAGGTTCCTCGAGGGCTTCGGAGGTTCCTCAAGGACCTTCTCCTCCCCCAGGCGTCTTCCACCTCGGGGTGCCGCTGGAAGCCCTCTTCTTCGTGGGCAACCAACTCATCGCCACCAGCCACACGGGCAAAATCGGCGTCTGGAACGTCTTGGAAGTTCCTCAAGGGTCTTGGAAGTTCCTCGAGGATCTCAGGGGATCCTCAAGGATCTTGGAGGTTCAAGGATATCGGAGGTTCCTCAAAGGTCTTGGAGGTTCCTCAAAAGTCTCAGAGAATCCTGAAAGGTCTCGGAGGTTCCTCAAGGATCCTGGAGGTTCCTCAAGGATCTCAGGGGATCCTCAAGGATCTTGGAGGTTCAAGGATCTCGGAGGTTCCTCAAGGATCTCAGGGGATCCTCAAGGATCCTGGAGGTTCAAGGATCTCAGAGGTTCCTCAAAGGTCTTGGAGGTTCCTCAAAGGTCTCAGAGGATCCTGAAAGATCTCGGAGGTTCCTCAAGGATCCTGGAGGTTCCTGAAGGATCTGGCAGGTTCCTCGAGGGCTTCGGAGGTTCCTCAAGGACCTTCTCCTCCCCCAGGCGTCTTCCACCTCGGGGTGCCGCTGGAAGCCCTCTTCTTCGTGGGCAACCAACTCATCGCCACCAGCCACACGGGCAAAATCGGCGTCTGGAACGCCGTCACCAAGCACTGGCAGGTGAGACGGGGGTGGGGGGATTGTCCCCATGGATTGTCCCCACGGATTGTCCCCATGGATTGTCCCTCACGACCTCCTTCTCATCCCGAAGGATCTGGCAGGTTCCTCGAGGGCTTCGGAGGTTCCTCAAGGACCTTCTCCTCCCCCAGGCGTCTTCCACCTCGGGGTGCCGCTGGAAGCCCTCTTCTTCGTGGGCAACCAACTCATCGCCACCAGCCACACGGGCAAAATCGGCGTCTGGAACGCCGTCACCAAGCACTGGCAGGTGAGACGGGGGTGGGGGGATTGTCCCCATGGATTGTCCCCACGGATTGTCCCCATGGATTGTCCCTCACGACCTCCTTCTCATCCCTCTGGTAGATCCAAGACGTCGTCCCCATCAACAGCTACGACGCCGCCGGCACCTTCCTCCTCCTCGGTTGCAACAACGGGTCCATCTACTACGTGGGTGAGGCCCCCGGTGAAGCCCCCTCTGACCCCCCCTCCAAAGCTGGAGATGTCCCCGTTGGCCACCATGTCCCCTCACCCCATCGTGTGTGTCCCCTCCCAACTTCTAGATGTCCAGAAGTTCCCCCTACGCATGAAGGACAACGACCTCCTGGTGACCGAGCTCTACCGCGACCCCACCGAAGACGCCGTCACCGCCCTCAGCGTCTACCTCACCCCCAAAACCAGTAAGAACCCACTACCACCATCCCTCCCAGTCTACCTCACCCCCAAAACCAGTGAGAACCCACCACCACCACCCCTCCCAGTCTACCTCACCCCCAAAACCAGGAAGAACCAACCACCACCACCTTGCTTTGGTGGGGCTGGTTCTTGACCCCTCCCAGTCTACTTCACCTCCAAAACCAGTGAGAACCCACCACCACCACCTCATTTTGGGGTGATGTTTCTTCACCCCTCCCAGTCTTCCTCACCCCCACAACCAG